GGCAGAGAAGTATATTGAAGGTTATTTGGTGTATGATTGGCCAATTGTATGCTTGTGTAGCTTTAATATCCTATAAATCTGTCTGTTGGTTAAAAAGCGAGGCTAAGCCTCACATATCGGTACGTTTATTAAAATTGTAGTGTAGCTGTGAATCTTATCCAAGCACTGAACCTCATGAGTGTCCATTCTGTCAGAAAAGAATTCAGCCTCAATAAGTAAAAACCTCACAAGTGTCCACAGTCTTGGAAGAGATTCAGTCAAGCTAACTGTATAAATTGAATATGTCTGCATATATATTTGAATATATAAATTAAGTTATCAATAGCTTGCTTAGTTATTTTTAAGTTATCATATAAGTTCATTTAATTGAATATAATTTCTAGTACTTAGTTAATAGTATTTAGACTACATTTAAGGTCATTTATTATACTTTTACAATTTAATTTGTTGTTTATAGTATAAGTACATATTGGCTGTTAAGTTATGGTACTAGGTTAGACTATGTATGTTTAAATCTCTGATTTAAACAGAGCCAGTGTTCAGTCAGATAACTGAATTTATCAAATCTTATCCTTGTATAAAATACAAGCTGATGTGAGATCCCTGTCTACAGGTGGATTGGAACTTCTATCAACAAGTCATTCACCCCACCTGTCCCTTACAGCCCACAGTTTGTCATTAGGAAAAGAGGATCTAGGATTTACAACCCTAGCTAGAGATTTTAGTTGAATTAATTTGCAGACAGTAAATTTTTAATTTAGTTCAGTACAAGTCCCTGGTAGTCTCCTCTTATATCAATCCCAGCAGGTTTTTCCCACACTCACCACCACCACCATGGTCCTGGTGCACCACTGTCTCCCTCACCACCACCACCATGGTCCTGGTGCACCACTGTCTCCCTCACCACCACCACCATGGTCCTGGTGCACCACTGTGTCCCTCACCACCACCACCACCACCATGGTCCTGGTGCACCACTGTCTCCCTCACCACCACCACCATGGTCCTGGTGCACCACTGTGTCCCTCACCACCACCACCACCATGGTCCTGGTGCACCACTGTCCCCCTCACCACCACCACCACCATGGTCCTGGTGCACCACTGTCTCCCTCACCACCACCACCACCATGGTCCTGGTGCACCACTGTCTCCCTCACCACCACCACCATGGTCCTGGTGCACCACTGTCTCCCTCACCACCACCACCATGGTCCTGGTGCACCACTGTCTCCCTCACCACCACCACCATGGTCCTGGTGCACCACTGTGTCCCTCACCACCACCACCACCACCACCATGGTCCTGGTGCACCACTGTCTCCCTCACCACCACCACCATGGTCCTGGTGCACCACTGTGTCCCTCACCACCACCACCACCATGGTCCTGGTGCACCACTGTCCCCCTCACCACCACCACCACCATGGTCCTGGTGCACCACTGTCTCCCTCACCACCACCATAATGGTCCTGGTGCACCACTGTCACCCTCACCACCACCACCATGGTCCTGGTGCACCACTGTCACCCTCACCACCACCACCATGGTCCTGGTGCACCACTGTCTCCCTCACCACCACCACCACCATGGTCCTGGTGCACCAGTCTCCCTCACCACCACCATAATGGTCCTGGTGCACCACTGTCTCCCTCACCACCACCACCACCATGGTCCTGGTGCACCACTGTCTCCCTCACCACCACCACCATGGTCCTGGTGCACCACTGTCCCCCTCACCACCACCACCACCATGGTCCTGGTGCACCACTGTCCCCCTCACCACCACCACCATGGTCCTGGTGCACCAGTCTCCCTCACCACCACCACCATGGTCCTGGTGCACCACTGTCTCCCTCACCACCACCACCATGGTCCTGGTGCACCACTGTCCCCCTCACCACCACCACCACCATGGTCCTGGTGCACCACTGTCTCCCTCACCACCACCACCATGGTCCTGGTGCACCACTGTCCCCCTCACCACCACCACCACCATGGTCCTGGTGCACCACTGTCACCCTCATCACCACCATGGTCCTGGTGCACCACTGTCTCCCTCACCACCACCACCACCATGGTCCTGGTGCACCACTGTCTCCCTCACCACCACCACCATGGTCCCGGTGCACCACTGTCTCCCTCACCACCACCACCATGGTCCTGGTGCACCACTGTCTCCCTCACCACCACCACCACCATGGTCCCGGTGCACCACTGTCTCCCTGACCACCACCATGGTCCTGGTGCACCACTGTCTCCCTCACCACCACCACCATGGTCCTGGTGCACCACTGTCTCCCTCACCACCACCACCACCATGGTCCTGGTGCACCACTGTCTCCCTCACCACCACCACCATGGTCCCGGTGCACCACTGTCTCCCTCACCACCACCACCATGGTCCTGGTGCACCACTGTCTCCCTCACCACCACCACCACCGTGGTCCCGGTGCACCACTGTCTCCCTCACCACCACCACCATGGTCCTGGTGCATCACTGTCTCCCTCACCACCACCACCACCATGGTCCCGGTGCACCACTGTCTCCCTGACCACCACCATGGTCCTGGTGCACCACTGTCTCCCTCACCACCACCACCATGGTCCTGGTGCACCACTGTCTTCCTCACCACCACCACCATGGTCCTGGTGCACCACTGTCTCCCTCACCACCACCACCACCATGGTCCTGGTGCACCCCTGTCTCCCTCACCACCACCACCGCCATGGTCCTGGTGCACCACTGTCTCCCTCACCACCACCACCATGGTCCTGGTGCACCACTGTCTCCCTCACCACCACCACCATGGTCCTGGTGCACCACTGTCCCCCTCACGACCACCACCATGGTCCTGGTGCACCACTGTCTCCCTCACCACCACCACCATGGTCCTGGTGCACCACTGTCTCCCTCACCACCACCACCACCATGGTCCTGATGCACCACTGTCCCCCTCACCACCACCACCATGGTCCTGGTGCACCACTGTCTCCCTCACCACCACCACCACCATGGTCCCGGTGCACCACTGTCTCCCTGACCACCACCATGGTCCTGGTGCACCACTGTCTCCCTCACCACCACCACCATGGTCCTGGTGCACCACTGTCTCCCTCACCACCACCACCACCATGGTCCTGATGCACCACTGTCCCCCTCACCACCACCACCATGGTCCTGGTGCACCACTGTCTCCCTCACCACCACCACCATGGTCCCGGTGCACCACTGTCTCCCTGACCACTACCATGGTCCTGGTGCACCACTGTCCCCCTCACCTCCACCACCATGGTCCTGGTGCACCACTGTCTCCCTCACCACCACCACCATGGTCCCGGTGCACTACTGTCTCCCTGACCACCACCATGGTCCTGGTGCACCACTGTCCCCCTCACCACCACCACCATGGTCCTGGTGCACCACTGTCTCCCTCACCACCACCATGGTCCTGGTGCACCACTGTCTCCCTCACCACCACCACCATGGTCCTGGTGCACCACTGTCTCCCTCACCACCACCACCATGGTCCTGGTGCACTAGTCTCCCTCGCCAACAAGTAACCATCAAACCTACTCCTCCAAGGATCACCAAGACGGGTGAGCGCGTCTCGCAAGGATAACCTCAGCGGCCGACGTGTCAACAACAATAGTGTATCTAACTAGCCAAAAAGCAAATGCAAATAAGTAAGGAAATCTAAGAGAAAATTTTGAAGTGCGTATGACAGACCAAAGGCAAATCTTGACGGCTTCTTTCATATCTGTCAAACATTAGCGAGTTGACCCACTGGCGGACAACGGGTCAAGTGCCACTCTCAGGGGGTCAGGTGGCACTCAAGGGGTTAGGTGCCACTCTCAAGGAAATGGTGGTTTTCTAATTATTTAGTTACTTGATATTTTAACTACATTGGAGTAAATCTATGTAGCTGGTGAAGAGGACATGTTGACTACCTTAATGATACCAACTGAGGTATTTACCAGGAAGGTCTTGAAGAATGTAGCTTAGATATCCCCTTGTCTTGGATATTAAGTATATCACTGAGCCAAGCAGAGTCACCTGAGTGGGTGAGGCGTCATGACAGACTTGCTAAGTACCAGGTATAAGAACCTTCCCTTCTGAAGACAGTTTAATAAAGCTTCATTTACACGTTCTAGAAAGACGAAGAATAAGCATTCATCTTCATCCATTCATATACATGACTGATGTATATGAATGGATGAAAGGGTATAATAAAGTAGAAATAAATAAGGTGTTGAAATTATCAACTCAAAAGTAGAACTCCAAAGGATGGGAAAATGGTAAGTTTAGATTCAGTAATTACCTGGGTAAATACTGGTTTGGAGACAAGATGATTCGTTTATGGAACAAGTTGGCGGGTAGTATAATAGCCGTGGGATCGATGGGTTGTTTCAGTCGTAGGTTAGACATATATGAATGAGTCTGAGTGGTTATATAGAAAAGCTGCCTCGTATAGGCCAAGGAGCTTTGTCTAGTTACCTTCATATCAATGTTCTCCGACTCTCTCACTCTCTCCCTATTCTTCTGTCACGCTTTATCTGCCTCCCTCTCACTCTGTCTCTCCCCCGTATTAAAACCCATAGCCTCAGCGGGCCTGAACAAGCGAGCCTACACACGGCGTCTTGTCATGCAGCGGCCAGTGACCGCCGACCAGCAAGCCTCTAAGACGAACACAAACACTATCTGGATAACAAACTTCTCCAACGAATAAAACCAATACCGGAATTCCAAATTATTTCTCCATTCAATGTGTGTAGGCTATTGAGGCCTAGATCAGGCTAAATTAGCCGAGGTTTCTCTTACCTGAGAATACGGAAGCTTTGAATAAGTTTGAAACGAAGCTTCGACTATGGCTCAAGATTTAGGCGGGAAAAGCTCTCACGGCGGGAGGAGTGGGAGCGGACAGCGGCGTCGCCCACCGCCATCTACGGGAAATCTGGTGTAATCGGCGGCCCGCACCCATAAACCTGCCTGTGAATAGTGTTAATGGGCAGGGTAATGGTCGGATTGTTTTGTTGACAGTTGTAACGAGCGAACGACCCGTGAATTGAAACTGTTGTTTGTTGTGCATTGAGCGGTGTTCCTGGCAGTGTTGCCAGTCTCTGGGGTGCCAGAGGACGCAGTGTTGCCAGTCTCTGGGGTGCCAGAGGACGCAGTGTTGCCAGTCTCTGGGGTGCCAGAGGACGCAGTGTTGCCAGTCTCTGGGGTGCCAGAGGACGCAGTGTTGCCAGTCTCTGGGGAGCCAGAGGACGCAGTGTTGCCAGTCTCTGGGGTGCCAGAGGATGCAGTGTTGCCAGTCTCTGGGGTGCCAGAGGACGCAGTGTTGCCAGTCTCTGGGGTGCCAGAGGACGCAGAGTTGCCAGTCTCTGGGGTGCCAGAGGACGCAGAGTTGCCAGTCTCTGGGGTGCCAGAGGACGCAGAGTTGCCAGTCTCTGGGGTGCCAGAGGACGCAGAGTTGCCAGTCTCTGGGGTGCCAGAGGATGCAGTGTTGCCAGTCTCAGGGGTGCCAGAGGATGCAGTGTTGCCAGTCTCTGGGGTGCCAGAGGACGCAGTGTTGCCAGTCTCTGGGGTGCCAGAGGACGCAGTGTTGCCAGTCTCTGGGGTGCCAGAGGACGCAGAGTTGCCAATCAGATGATCAGATTTTTTTTTAAATTTGGCACGATGCCCACGCCGACTCGCCCATGTTGGGTATGTACTCCACTGCAATAAACGTGCAAAATTGGCTGTGGCAAGCCTTAAGCATCTGGCCTGTACCGTCTTGGACAGACACTCAATTTTCTGCATTTATATACTTGTATATAGCACACAGACACGGTATAAAATATTAAATGTAATACACCGTCGCGCAAGAAATCAATGTTTTGTATAATACCGGTAAAATAAATTTGTCGTCATTTAGCATAATATGTGGTTTATGGGGGCGTAATCCTTCAGTGTCGGCGGGTGTAATAATGCCGCAGTTTTAAGTGATCGTTGTTAGCGCGGTGATAAAGTGACGCTAATGGTCCTCTTTAGTAATAATTGGCTGACACACTCGCAGCCCGCCGGGCTTCACGCCTGTCACGCTATCCTCCGCCTCCTCCTTTCTTGAGTCTATCGGCTATTGTTTCCCCTCTGCTTTATTTATTGCCTCTTTATCTCACGCTTTTGTTCGAAGGTTGTTTTTTTTCTCGTTCCTTCGTATTGTCGACGATTTATGCTTCCTTCATATATTACGTTATGTTTTTTGTTTGTTTGTGTGTGTGTGTGTGTGTGTGTGTGTGTGTGTGTGTGTGTGTGTGTGTACTCACCTAGTTGTGCTTGCAAAGGTTGAGCTATGGCTCTTTGGTCCTGCTTCTCAACTGTCAATCAACTGGTGTACAGGTTCCTAAGCCTACTGGATCAACCTGTACTCTTAAAAATAACGTCGCTTTTAGTCCGTTTACCAGTATGGCCGAAAGTGGACGTAATTTTAAAATGAAAACAAATTAAAATAAATTTGAGTTTTTTTCAACAACAGTAAGTTAAGGGTCCTCTGATAGGTTAGGTGGGCAGGAAATTCTTATAAAGTTTCAAAACGTTATGAAAAACGTTAATGGAAAGTTTCCTCTTCTAACCTCTCCGCGTAGGCCGGACGACTCAAACAGAAAACGGGACAGTACGTCACTTTTGTGAGTCGATTTCATTTCAAATTACGTCCAAATTTGGCCATAGCGGCGCATACCAGCCAAAAGTGGCGTTATTTTTAAGAGGACGGGTTGCTGTCATATCTACATTTGAAACTGTGTATGGAGTCAGCCTCCACCACATCACTGCCTAATGCATTCCACCTGTTAACTACTCTGACACTGAAAAAGTTCCTTCTAACGCCCCTGTGGCTCATGTGGGTACTCAGTTTCCACCTGTGTCCCCTTGTTCGCGTACCACCAGTGTTGAATAGTTTATCCTTGTTTACCCGGTCGATTCCTCTGAGGATTTTGTAGGTTGGGATCATGTCTCCCCTTACTCTTCTGTCTTCCAGTGACGTAAGGTGCATTTCCCGCAGCCTTTCCTCGTAACTCATGCCTCTTAGTTCTGGGACTAGTCTAGTGGCATACCTCTGAACTTTTTCCAGCTTCGTCTTGTGCTTGACAAGGTACGGACTCCATACTGGGGCCGCATACTCCAGGATTGGTCTTACATATGTGGTATACAAGATTCTGAATGATTCCTTACACAAGTTCCTGAACGCTGTTCTGATGATAGCCAGCCTCGCATATGCATCAGATGTTATTCTTTTTATGTGGGCTTCAGGAGACAGGTTTGGTGTGATATCAACTCCTAGATCTTTCTCTCTGTCCGTTTCATTAAGTACTTCATCTCCTGTTCTGTATCCTGTGTCTGGCCTCCTGTTTCTACCGCGTAGTTTCATTACTTTGCATTTACTCGGGTTGAACTTCAACAGCCATTTGTTGGACCATTCACTCAGTCTGTCTAGGTCATCTTGTAGCCTTCTACTATCATCCTCTGTTTCAATCCTCCTCATAATTTTTGCATCATCAGCAAACACTGAGAGAAACAAGTCTATACCCTCTGGGAGATCATTTACATATATCAGAAACAGTATAGGTCCAAGGACTGACCCCTGTGGGACTCCACTTGTAACGTCTCGCCAATCTGAGACCTCACCCCTCACACTGACTCGTTGTCTCCTGTTGCTTAGGTACTCCTTTGTCCAATGGAGTACCTTCCCTTTCATTCCAGCCTGCATCTCCAACTTTTTCACTAGCCTCTTGTGTAGAACTGTATCAAAGGCTTCTGGCAATCCAAAATATGCAGTCTGCCCACC